GCAAGAATAGACAGGATGACGGCTTTTTGTACCTAGTGAAATGTAAACAAACCCAAAAGGCCCATATTGTAGTAGTATATATATACTAGGTCATAAACCAACCCTCATTAGGAGAGTTGGTACCTAGCCTTTACCAATAGGGTAACGGTCTAGGGTTCGAGTCCCCCCCTCCCCTACTTCCCCTTGTAATGGACAATTTCCTCAAAAAAATAAAAATAAAAAATATACTAAGGTCATAAGTAGAGAAAAGGACGGGAACCACCCCATATATTACATTATTCAGTGATCTCATAAGCACACAAGATATGAATATTCAAACAAGGTATGAATATTCAAACTTATGACAAGATCTAGTAATCCATTGAATATAACAAAAAGCTATAAAACCTATATTATTGTATGTGCCTAATATAAGCTCATCAGCTAATTATCAAAAAAAAAATATAAGCTCATCAGCTTATTTGCCACTATAGTTAATCTAGGAGGGTACGATGACTGATATGTTAGTTCTCTAGGGGTATTTTGGATATAAAAGAATAGTTGAAGGGTCAAGTGCTAAACCCTAAAAAAGATAAATCGTCGAGGATCCCCAATTTATAAGCAGAACTAGTGAGTTGCGCCGCCGCCTGCCAGATTCTGGAAACATCTCTCTTCTAACGTTGTAGGTTCCCAGGACGCCATGGCTAGCTTCTTCTTTTCCTCGTCCAAGGTCTTAATTTGTCCAATTTTATTCATATTTACATGTGTATACCAATTACTGATTGTTTTAATGTAATTTTTGTTTGGAGAGAAGGCTTCTAGCAAGATCGCTCTTTGCAATCGGCTCCTGAAAACGCTGATGAATTCGACGCCGCCGCCGCCGCCGACGACGACGACGACTGTGGGCTTCAATCACAGAATCACTATTAAAAGCCTTCCTTTTTGCACGATTCCGACCAAACCCCCTCGCCCTCTGTATGAATGCACTCCCGCTCTTTTTGATGAGTGGTGTAAAAAATTTGAAAAGAAATATTCTTCAGAGGAAGAAAAAGAGCGCAGATACAAGATATTTCAGGAATCGTGCGAAGTTATTAATGAGAACAACTCGGATCCTGATATCTCTCACACAGCGGGTCTCACTGAGTTCGTTGATATGACCGTGGAGGATTTCGTGGGTAAATATTCGAATTCGAACCGCTATTTGAGCTCAAACTCAGTAAGGGGTTGAGGCGTTTAGCTGCTGGTATGATAATTGTCTTTAATTTTTTATTTGTTTTTACGGTTCAATATTAATTTTATTGCTTCCTACACTTTTTAGTTCATGTGTAGTACCAAATTGAAAAGTTAGTTAGGAGGAATTAATTTAGATTCATAAATAAATTGTTGAAATTTGTTGTGTCAAATTTTGTAAATTTTCCCCTGCTCTATTTAGGACCTGGAAAAGTGATTAGCGTTGACTCCATGGAGGAGTGGAACCGTTTCTTCAAGCAGATGCTCCGCTCGAAACGACTGGTAACTACAACTACTTGCTTTCTTATCATGACATGTTATTCTGCTATACATAATTATTGATTTGGGTTTTGCTTTTTTTTTTTTTTTTTTTTCTTTTTTTTTCTTGATTTGGTTTTTTTTTTTCCGAAGTGGTTGAAGTTGCTTGTTAGTCCATGTTTGCATTTACAATTGTATGTAGCTGTTTCTCAATTTGACGTGTGTATGGAAAACCCTTTTATCAGGTGGTGTTGTTTTTCACAAAGCCGTGGTACTGCAAAAGATGGTCTATCTCAGTAGCCAATAGTGCAAAGAAGACACCAGATGTTGTATTCGTGAAGATTGATGCTTATCAGCTGAAGTTATGCCACTTTTTAACCTTGCTTGCTTTAACAATTCCGATCGGTTTTCTTGAATTGGAAATTTGATTTGGTAAAAAATATCAATATGTTGTGTATGCAGGCTGTTGCTGATAAATACGTAATTGATGATATGCCCACGTGCGTGATTCTGAAAAAAGGGAAGGAAGTGAATAGGTATGTATGTGCTAAGATGAATAAACTGCGGAGCAAAATGGACCAACATCTCTCTTCTTCTTCCCCGTCTTTGGTAGTTAATTGAGATTTGAGATTGTGAAATAAAAAACGTGTATGTTTTAATCATTTTTTGGCAAAACAGAAGAATAAAAGAAAGTTGAGTAGTTTAAAATATTAACAAGGGTCAGTGCAAAGGTTCGATATGTTTGAAAAATAAAATGAGAAGATATCTATGTTGCATTTCAACGCATTTCATCTATATATATCATTAGACTATTCTCTATTTATATTTCGTTTGTTTTGATATATTTTTATTTTTTTAAATATTGTTAATGGAGTTCAAAATCTATTTTGAAGACAAAACTTAATTACCTGTGCTGGACTAAGTCCATTCCAATGCTGTTGCATAGTAACGAGCTCCCACATAATTACTCCAAAACTGTACACATCCAATTTCTCGGTTGAGGGCTCTCCACAAAGAAATTCAGGGGCCATCCACAAATGAGAAGAAACAGAGTTACTTAACTGATCTGTGTGAATGTGCGGGCATGAGAGAGAGAGAGAGAGAGAGAGAGAGAGAGACTCTTACTGTTCCAGCAACAGACTTTGATTATATGAATGTGTTAGACAAAAACGAAAACAGTAAAGAGAATAATTTTACCTTCACAGTCCAATGGGGATCACTATTTCAAATCCCTACTTTTGCTTACTTGAATACCAAAAAAATAAAAAAATAAATAATTAATTGTAAATTACTTTAATACCCTTAATGAAAATTAAAATCAAAAAAATATTACAAATACTATTTTTCTTTCTTAAATACCAAATACTAAAAAACCCTAAAAAACCATTTCCCTCCTCACTCACAAACCCCTCACCTCCTCCACCTCCTTCTTCTCCCTCCCCCAAATACCCTTCTAAAAAATCTCAAAACTAAAGAAATTAAAACCTCACAAAACTTATATAATTGAATTACAAGACAATAATATGGTAGTATATATGAAAGGATAACACATTAAGGTAAGTATCGATGTCTTTTTTGAGCTTCGAAGTCGATTTTGAAGTTTTTTTTTTTGAAACCCGCCGGCAATTTTCGACACATACAAGTCGATTTTTTGGTCAATTTTCGACACCAACGTGGCGAAAAAAAAAAAAAAACAAATTTCGACACATACCTGTCGAAAATTCTCCCAATTTCGACAGGTATGTGTCGAAAACCCCAAAAAAAAAAAAAAATAAAAAAAAAAAAATAAATTTTACCAACAGTATTTTTTCGACACATACTTGTCGAAATTGGGAGAATTTTCGACAGGT